GGGCGTGCTGCTGGAACCCGAGCGGGAGCCGGAGCCAGAGCAGGGAGGGCGGCCCGGCGGCCTGGAGCCGGACGCGTCCGGAGCGACCCCGCAGACCGGGCCAGCGGGTGAGACGGGGTCTGGGCTAAGCGTGAGTGGGCGTGGCGGCTCTGGGCGGGGGCTAGGGAACGCGGGGGGGGGGTGCCAGTGACCTGCAGGAAGGGGAATCTGAGATGCACGCGCATGACCCTAAAGCAACTCGAGAGGCTTGCGTTGGCGGGAGGGATACCCGGAGCAGAGGACGACACACTGAGAGCAAAAATGGGCTACCCAGCGAGGATGGGAGGTAATAGCAGGAAGTGGACAGAAGCTACTGTGGAGAAGGGCTGCAGCCCCTTTAGAACTTTAAGGACCAGGATTTTTGAAGGGGCTCCCTCTTTGCTATACCAGGCAAGGGTGGGGCGAAAGCTCAGTCCTCTCCCCTCGCCTCTTACTCCTCCCTGCCCCACAGTGTTCTAGGAGACATTTCTGGTGGGGCCACTCCTCCCATCCACCCAACTGGTCCCTCCGGTCTGAGATCTGAGATCTGGGGGAGTGGAGTCGACAGGGGGTTGGGTGGAGCTGCCATTTGCTTAGATACCCAGCTCCTGGACTGTGCTACTGGGGCAATGGATGTGACTCTGACATTCCCTCTCTTCCCAGGTCGTCTGGGGGCCTACCATGCTGGTGACTGCCTACCTCGCTTTTGTAGGGCTCCTGGCCTCTTGTCTGGGGCTGGAGCTGTCAAGATGCCGGGCTAAGCCCCCTGGAAGGGCTTGCAGCAATCCTTCCTTCCTTCGGTTTCAGCTGGACTTCTATCAGGTCTACTTCCTGGCCCTGGCAGCTGACTGGCTCCAGGCTCCCTATCTCTATAAACTCTATCAGCATTACTACTTCCTAGAGGGTCAAATTGCCATCCTTTATGTCTGTGGCCTTGCCTCCACTGTCCTCTTTGGCCTTGTGGCCTCCTCCCTTGTAGATTGGCTGGGTCGCAAGAAGTCTTGTGTCCTGTTCTCCCTCACTTACTCTCTGTGCTGTTTAACCAAACTCTCTCAGGACTACTTTGTGTTGCTGGTGGGCAGAACACTTGGTGGGTTGTCCACAGCCCTGCTCTTCTCAGCCTTCGAGGCCTGGTACATCCATGAGCATGTGGAACGGCATGACTTCCCTGCAGAGTGGATCCCAGCTACTTTTGCCCGAGCTGCCTTCTGGAACCATGTGCTGGCTATAGTGGCAGGTGTGGCAGCTGAGGCTGTGGCTAGCTGGATGGGGCTGGGGCCTGTAGCGCCCTTTGTGGCCGCCATTCCTCTCCTGGCTCTGGCTGGGGCCCTGGCCCTTCACAACTGGGGGGAGAACTATGACCGGCAGCGTGCCTTCTCAAGGACCTGTGCTGGGGGCCTGCGCTGCCTCCTGTCGGACCGCCGTGTGCTGCTGTTAGGCACCATACAAGCCCTTTTTGAGAGTGTCATCTTCATCTTTGTCTTCCTTTGGACACCTGTGCTGGACCCACATGGGGCCCCACTGGGCATTGTCTTCTCCAGCTTCATGGCAGCCAGCCTGCTCGGCTCTTCCCTGTATCGCATTGCCACCTCCAAGAGGTACCACCTTCAGCCCATGCACCTACTCTCCCTTGCTGTACTCATCGTCGTCTTCTCTCTCTTCATGTTGACTTTCTCCACCAGCCCAGGCCAGGAGAGTCCAGTGGAGTCCTTCATAGCCTTTCTACTTATTGAGTTGGCCTGTGGGCTATACTTTCCCAGCATGAGCTTCCTACGGAGAAAGGTGATCCCTGAGACAGAGCAGGCTGGTGTACTCAACTGGTTCCGGGTGCCCCTGCACTTACTGGCCTGCCTAGGACTCCTTGTCCTCCATGACAGTGATCGAAAAACAGGCACTCGGAATATGTTCAGCATCTGTTCTGCCGTCATGGTGATGGCTCTGCTGGCGGTGGTGGGGCTCTTCACTGTGGTAAGGCACGATGCTGAGCTGCGGGTGCCCTCACCCACTGGTGAGCCCTATGCTCCTGAACTCTAACCCTGTTCCAGGACAAGGCACCTGGGATGAACTTAAATCCCACCTCTCCAGGGTTGTATAGATTTCTCTGTGACTGATTTTGTGACTCTTTCCTGCAGCTTTTCCTGCCAGTGCTTTGTGTTGGGGAGGACATGGAGGTAAAGGACTGGGAAGAAGGTGCCAAAAGTTGCCTCTGTGTTACTCCCTTTCCCCTTCCCATTTAAAAATAAACACTTTCAACTGATCATTGATTTGATTTACTCATCCTCACCTGTAGCTACCTCAGTAGTTTCTGGTGAGTGGGCAGCTGGAGGTTTTGAGATGGGATTTTGAGCTAGGATTACCAGTAAAATGTTTGTATTTCTAACTTTTCTTGGACTGTCTGCAGCTCAAACTGGGAGTTGTGGGAAGGACCTGAGACTCCTAGGTCCTCCACATCTCTCTGCTGTGGGACAGGCACCCTCTCCAGTTGTCAAGCAAAACCCTTGCTCCACATCCAGGGCAAGACAATCTCTGGAGCATGTAGGGTAAATGCCCAATATGCCAGGCCACTGAGCAAAGATTTCAGAGCCTTGGGCTCCTGCTTTGACCATCTCTTGGGCAAACCCAGGGCCCTTCCTACAGGAATAAGCTTATAGCTCAACACATGCGTGCTGCCTATCCTCTGCCTCTGTGGCTATGAATGCACCATTTGTCTAGCATCATCTGAGTCCACCAGGTCCTGTATCCCTGCATGAAACCTAAATGAAGGGCTGCCAAGGGAAGAGAATAGTCAATGGCTAAGGGATTGGGACATCTTGTCTGTACCTGATTTTTCCCTACCCAGCCTGAGTGAGGGTGAGGGAGCCATCAGGGCAGGAAACAGTACTAGTGAGCCAGTTCTGTGGGCCCCTCCCTGCCTCACCTCTGATTGTATCTGCCTTTTCTCCTCCCAACAAAACCTGGCAATCTCAGGGAAAGCAGAGCCAGCTTTAAGAAAAGTGGGGATTGGCCAGGCGTGGTGGCTCATGCCTGTAATCCTAGCACTCAGGGAGGCTGAGGCAGGAGGATTGCTTGAGCTCAGGAGTTCCAGACCAGCCTGAGCAAGAATAAGACCCCATCTTTACAAAAAAAAAAAAAAAAAAGGAAAAAAACAAAAACCCAGTGGCTTATTGCAGGGTGGGCCTGTAGTCCCAGCTACCCAAAAGGCTGAGGCAGAGGGATGGCTTGAGCCCAGGATTCAGAGGTTGCAGTGAGCTACAATGATGCCACTGCACAATACCCAGGACAGCAGAATGAGATTCTATCTCAACAAAAACAAGGCAACTGAATACCCCTCCTCCCAACCTCCCACCCTTCAATAAAAATTTAGAAAAAAAAGGGGCAAGGATGAGGTGGGTGGATTGCTCAAGGTCGAGAGTTTGAAACCAGCCTGAGCAAGAGCAAGACCCCGTCTCTACTAAAAATAGAAATTAATTGGCCAACTAAAAATATATAGAAAAATTAGCCGGGCATGGTGACGCATGCCTGTAGTTCCAGCTACTCGGGAGGCAAAGGCAGGAGGATCGCTTGAGCCCAGGAGTTTGAGGTTGCTGTGAGCTAGACTGACGCCACAGCACTCTAGCCCAGTGCCTGGGCAACAGAATGAGACTCTGACTCAAAATAAAAGGGGGGCGGGGCAGGGATAGAGGAAAGGTAAGCTCAAGGGTATGTCCTGGAATGTGCTTAAGATGGGCATGGGGGACCCACCCATTCTGGAAAGAGGTTGACAGCCTTTCCTTGGGTCCCAGACTACTTCCCAGACAGGAAGACGCAAGATGTTCAGAGACCTGCAGGTCCCAACCTGTGTGGAGAGATAGCATCAACTGTTGCTGAAGGAATGCAGGATGGAAGGGCTTCTGCACGGTAAAGCTAAGGAGAGGAATGGATGGTGGTCTCAGGTTCTTACTCAGAGAAGAAAAGACATGTTTCCCCAGCAAGGCTGCAGGGAACAGAGGTTGAGGTTAAGTACAAAAAACACATATCTTTTCCTTTTCTTCCCCCCATCATCTTGAGACTGAAGACAGAGTCTTGTAATAACTCCACTTCCTCTTTCTGCCTTGTTGAGCTGGACTTAGATATATTTTATAGTTATTTGCAGACTTTCTGTCTCCTTCTATCATACTATGATCTTGAGGGGAGGAGGAAACTGTCTTAGTCACCTTTGTCTCCCCTATATACACACACAAATTGGTGCTTCACCCATGACTGTGCTTGGTACATATCTGGAGAGGAGACAGGCTGGTTCATACCTGGCTTTTCAAGAACCGCCCATTTGGGGAAGTATATTAGACTAGAATCTAGAGCCTAGTTAATGATTTGTTGTTTTGGATGACAGTAGTTATTTACTGTTGGAATCATGCAGGGGGCATCACATTCCTGAGTGTTACAGAAATGCGGGGGTAGGGGGGACAGACTAATGAGGTTCCTTTAGCTTTGTCTTTGCTGAGCTTGCTTCAGAGGGGCAGTAGCGGATAGAGTGGAGGTGGTTCTTTCCTGTTGGACTCAGTGTGTTAAGAGCTGGAAAGGATTTTAGGGATTGTCCATTTGGCCTTAAATGTATTTTGGACCTTCACCTACCTGCCTTTTAGTCTCTAGCCCTGCTCCCCCATCCCAAGCTCTGTCGTTGGAGAATGGCAAGAGAATGGGAGCATTTGGTCATCTGGTCCATTTTGGAGTATCTCTCCATATGGCTCAAATGAGGATTGGTTCATCCAGTGCACACTCTGCAAAACGCTGCTCATGATGCTCCAGAAAGGCAGCATAGGGAAGCGGCCAAGACTGTGGATCCAGAGCCTGACTGGTTCAAATCTGGCTTCACCACTCTGAGCCTCAGTTTCCTCATCTGTAAAGTGGGGAGGATAGCATAGTTTCAACCCCTTAGGACTCTCATGAGGATTAAATGCATTATTGTATTTAAGTGCTTAGAATAGTTCTTGGCTCACAGCATAAGCACTATATAAATGTTTGCTGTTATATTTTATTTTTTAACTTTTCCAATCCAGCTGAGCTATCTGGATTTGGGTGTGAGAATGAGTGGATGGGGCTGTACTGGAGTGTAGTACTTTCCAACACATCCCAGTGATTGGGGGATTCCCAGCAGTGTTTATCCTCAGTCCTGGCCCAGATGGAAGTATCAAGCTGAGATGCCTTCTACTTTAGGGTATGTGAGCAGCTGAGTTGGGTGTCAGTATGTTCCACTTGAACTCATTTCCTCTTCCTCAAGTGGGAAGGTCAGCTTGGGGTCAGGCTGGATAGCACACTACCATCTTTCACTAAGAGGCTCCTGATTTTCTGAATTTCCATCTGGCTGGACACATGATTATTTGATCTGGAGCTTTTAAGTGATCCTAAGAAGAGAAGAGAAACATCCCAAGGAATTAGGAGCCAATGGACAAGGATGCAGGAGAATTGGGGCATGCAGACATTACTGGGTTCTGAAGCCTGGAGGATGACCTTTTCCTGAAAATCTCATTCCTGCCCTGGGAGGGGAGTGGCTGTTCCCAGCTGTCAGCTGGGTCTAGGTTCTACTCCCAAGGGTTCTGTCCCTAACCCCAATCCCATGGTCCTCCCTGTCCCTTTTATTATTTTCTGCTACCACCTCCCTACAGAACCACAGGTCTATAAAACAAAAGTTTGGGCCAGGTGTGGTGGCTCATGCCTGTAATCCTAGCACTCTGGGAGGCCCAGGCAGGTGGATTGCTCGAGGTCAGGAGTTCAAAACCAGCCTGAGCAAGAGCGAGACCCCGTCTCTACTAAAAATAGAAAGAAATTCATTGGCCAACTAAAAATATATAGAAAAATACTAGCTGGGCGTGGTGGTGCGTGCCTGTAGTCCCAGCTACTCAGGAGGCTGAGGCAGGAGGATTGCTTGAGCCTAGGAGTTTGAGGTTGCTGTGAGCTAGGCTGATGCCATGGCACTCTAGCCTGGGCAGCAGAGTAAGACTCTGCCTCAAAAAACAAGCAAACAAAAAAACCCACAAAAGTTTGTCATGCTTAGGATCAGATCCAATATTATAAAAATACCTCACATTTGCTTTAAAGTTTTTAAAATTTTTTAAATTTTATTAATTTTTTCATATCAGATGGGTAATGTGCCAACGTTGTAACAAGGTTTGAGGAAGACACTGGGCACATCTCATATATTCACATGGAAACCCAATCATCATGCTTATGAACTACAAAAGGACTTACTTTAAGGTTTTGTTTTTTGTTTATAATATTTTTGGTTTTTATAGAGGCAGAGTCTCACTCTACTGCCCAGGCTGGAATGTAGTGGCCCAATCATAGCTCACTGTATGTAACCTTGAATTCCTGGGCTCAAGTGATTATCCTGCCTCAACCTCCTGGGTAGCTAGGACTACAGCCATCTACAGCCATACAACACTTACTTTTTTTTACAGATGGTTTATTTATTTATTTATCTTTTTTTGACATAGAGTCTTGCTCTGTTGCCCGGGCTAGAGTGCCGTGGCGTCAGCCTAGCTCACAGCAACCTCAAACACCTGGGCTCAAGCCATCCTCCTGCCTCAATCCTTGGTAGCTGGAACTACAGGTGTGAGCCACCAGCCCGGCTAATTTTTTTGTTTCTATTTTTAGTTGACTGGCTATTTTTTTCTATTTTTAGTAGAGATGGGGTCTTGCTTTTGCTCAGGCTGGTCTCAAACTCCTGACCTCAGGCCATCCTCCCGCCTGGGCCTCCCAGAGTACTAGGATTACAGGCATAAGCCACCACACCCAGCCTATAGATGGGTCTTGTTATGTTGCTCAAGCTGGTTTTGAACTCCTGGCCTCAAGCGATCCTCCCCCTACAGCCTCCCAAAGTGTTGGATTATAGGCATTCAGCATACAGCCTCTTTTCCTTCTTTTTTTTTTTTTCTTTTTAGAAAAATAGTCTTCCCTTCTAGATTCTCACCTCCTAAAAGAGCTCTATGATGATGGAGAGAAGGATGAAGGATGAATTATCCAGTAGAGTTCATCAGGGAAAAGCTAACTGGGAAACCAGTTTTGAGCTGAATGCTTTGGTGGAGGAAAGAAAGAAAAGCAGAACCAGCTGAATCTTCATGTTTGGGGAAGTGCTTAGTACTTACCAAACATAAGCCATTAAAGACTGTGGAAGATCCCAGGAAATGAATTTTCCTACTTCTTCCCTCACTCAACAGCTCCTACTCCACCCCTCTCTCTCCCATCAAAAAGCGCTAGATTCTGTCTTCCTGATACAACCCATGGAAGGAGTAAGGCTGGATGGCAAAGAGCTGGCGGTAGCCATGGATACTCATTTCAGTGCCCTCAGAAAACTATATTTAAAAGAATTTCATAGAAGGCTACGCCTTCTTTCCTAGTAATCCAAACCGCCTGAGTTTCCAAGTAAGTTCCTTCTGTTGTCTAGTCTATTTCTCTTCTCTTGAAATTTAAACTCTTGCCTGAGCTCTGAAGATAAAGGGGAGAAGGAGGAAAAAGGCTGGCCTTCCGGATAGCGACTAAAGCCACCAGTAGCTAAGAACTCACCAGACTGGAGGAAAAAAAAAAGGGGTGAAGCCTGCGCCCCCAAGAGGCCTCAACGCCCAGAGCAGCAGGACCTCGGGCGGGGTTGCGGAGTAACGAGGCGAAGCCGGGAGTCGGGCGAACTACAACTCCCAGTGCGCCGCGCGGCACGCCGGCGTTACGCAGCCCTCGCTGATTGGCCGCTGGCGATATTTGAAAGGAGGGGCTGGCGCGGAAAACGAAGGTTACGTTTTGGATCTTGCGGGGTACTCGGTGTGGCAGGTAGGTCCTGGATGCGGGAAGGACGGCGATTTCTTGGGCGGTAAGGCTGGGAGAGACTCTTGAGCGTATATACGCGCCAAGGCGAATGGGGTTCCCCAAGTTGACTTGGGGGAGAGCTGGAGGCAGTTCTGCGAGAGTGAGTAGGGAGATCTTGAGACGTCCGGGTGGGCGCTGAAGAGCTTGGCGGAGTCCCCTAGGGTGGAGTGGAGGACTAGTAGGGTAGTGAGAGTGGGCATCGGCTGGGAGGAAGAGCAGAAGCGTGGTCAGTTTATAACGGGAGCCCGGCCTCCTGGCATGATTCCCCCCACCCCCCATGAGTAGGATTTCAAATGGGATTCATTGCCTCCTCCTTCTGAGGCCTTCATACCCTTCTCCCTTCCTCCAGTTAGCTGCATTACGAATCTTCTCCACTTTCTCTAATTGTCTCCTTTGCTATAGCTCTCCAGCATCATGAGGATCTTCAAAGGAGTCAACTTTGGGACTCTGCTAAGCAGCCAGAAGGAGGTTGAAGAGTTGCTGCCTGATGTGAAGGTGGGGGTGCTGTGTGGGTCTGGATACACCTGGCTTTCCAAACTGAGCTGTTTTATTTGTGTTTTGCCTTATTTGGAAGAGCCAGATAAGTAGGGGACTCTCTCTTGATCAACTCTATTTCTGCTATCTCTACCTCTTTGCCTCTTTTGGTAGCTCCAATCATATCTTCCTTCTCCTAGGAGTTCCTGTCCAAACCTCCAGCTGGTTTTTCCAGCAGCCGATCTGATGCTGAGAGGAGACAAACTTGTGATGCCATCCTGAGGGCTTGCAACCAGCAGCTGACTGCCAAACTAGCTTGCCCTGGGCACCTGGGGAGCTTGCTAGAGCTGGCAGAGTTGGCCTGTGATGGCTACTTGGGGTCCACTCTCCAGCGCCCTCTCCTCTACCTGGAACGAATTCTCTTCATCTTACTACGGAATGTTGCCTCACAAGGAAGCCCAGAGGCCATGCTCCGCCTGGCTCAGCCCCTCCATGCCTGCTTGATGCAGTGCTCTCACCAAGCTGCTCTCCAGGATTATGAAGCCATAGCTCGAGGCAGCTTTTCTCTTCTTTGGAAGGGGGCAGAAGCCCTGTCGGAGCCTCGAGCTGCATTCTCAACTCGGCTGAAGGCCTTGAGCTTCCTAGTACTCTTGGAGGATGAAAGTACTCCTTGTGAGGTTCCTCACTTTGCTTCTCCAACAGCCTGTCGAGTGGTAGCTGCCCATCAGCTATTTGATGCAAGTGGACATGGTCTGAATGAAGCAGATGCAGATTTCCTAGATGACCTGCTCTCCAAGCATGTGATCAGAGTCTTAGTGGGTGAGGAAGAGGGCTCTCCTGGTCCTCTTTCCCCCCAGAGGGCCCTCTGCCTCTTGGAGCTCACCTTGGAACACTGCCGTCGCTTCTGCTGGAGCTGTCACTACAACAAAGCCATCAGCATGGTGGAGAAGGTTCATGGTTATATAAGGAACACCAATCTAACCCCCAGCCTCCAGCTATGCCAGCTGGGAGTTGAGCTGCTACAGGCTGGGGAGGAAGGATCCCAGGCAGTGGCCAAGCTTTTGATCAACGCATCAGCTGTCCTGAACAATAGTATGAAGGCACCATCACCCCCACTTCGGGCATTGTATGACACCTGCCAGTTCTTCCTTTCAGGTCTGGAGCGAGGTACCAAGAGGCACTATGGACTTGATGCTATTCTGAGCCTCTTCACTTTTCTTCAAGGGTACTTCTCCCTTATCCAGCAGCTGCGTGATGATAGTGTGAGTTAAGGACCTGGAGGTAGGGTGGGGATGTGGTTCTGTGAACTCACTACCAGCCTACGGTCTTTGGTAAGATCTAGAAGCCCTGGCTCCCTCCTTGATAAGCTGCTTTCTGGACTAGGCCTAGCCAGCCAGCAAGCAGCCTAGTCTACCCTGAGACAGCAGAGGTCCCTCCTAATGTCCATCTTCCTGCCCCCTGAGCTGCGCCAGCTCTCCAGGACTCTGGGTCAGTCTTCAGCTGGGAGCTCACTTTTTATCTCTACATCTCAAATCAACCTTCCTCTTCCTTCCTCAGGTCTGTGGAGTCTCCTCCAAACAGCAGCAATCTTTGTATCAGATGCACTTTCAGGCATTTCACCTCTACGCTGTCGTGGTTTATGACTTTGCCCAAAGCTGTCAGGTACCATTTGGGAATCGAGGAACCTGGACTAGGGTCCTAGGGTCTGGGGTTATTCCACTGCCCTCGATAGAGCTTTGGGGTTGCTTTGGCAGTGCTTTGACTTTGGATGTGGGTGGGGTAGAGGTCACCTTGGGCCTGCCATTCTCACTTTCAAGCCCTTCTTGTTCCTTCAGGTAGCTGATTTGGCTGACCTGGCCCAGCTAGTGGAGAGTTGCAAATCTATTGTTGTGTGGATGCTGGAGGCCTTAGAGGGCCTGTCAGGCCGAGAGCTGACTGACTACATGGGGATGACTGGTTAGTGCTGTGGGGCCCAAATACAGGGTTATTGGGAGGGTCATCACTCATCTGGCAGACAAATAGTACTTAACTTAAATTTTTAAAAATCAGGTAAAACATCCATGTGGTTCAAAATTCAAGTTGTACAAAGGGACATACAGTCAGTGAAAAGTCCCTCTCCCATTCCTAATACTATTCACCCAAGTTCCCTTTTGCAGAGACAACAAATATCAGTGTGCTGTATATCCTTCTGGAGATATTGTGTATATATAAACCAATGTGCATTTATACTTCTCCCCACCCTTTTTCTATTTGTTTTTTTTTTTTTTTTTTTGAGACAGAGTCTCACTTTGTTGCCTAGGCTAGAGTGAGTGCCGTGGCGTCAGCCTAGCTCACAGCAACCTCAGACTCCTGGCTCAAGCGATCCTTCTGTCTCAGCCTCCCAAGTAGCTGGGACTACAGGCATGCGCCACCATGCCCGCTAATTTTTTCTATATATAAGTTGGCCAATTAGTTTCTTTCTATTTATAGTAGAGACGGGGTCTCGCTCTTGCTCAGGCTGGTTTTGAACTCCCGACTCGAGCATCCGCCGCCTCGCCTCCCAGAGAGCTAGGATTACAGGCGTGAGCCACCGCGCCCGCCCCCACCCTTTTTCTATTTGTTTTTTAGAGACAGGGTCTCACTCTGTCACCCAAGCTGGAGTGCAGTGGCACAATCATAGCTCACTACAGCCTTGAACTCCTGGGCTCAATCCTGCTACCTCAGCCTCCCAAGTAGGTAGGACTATTGGTGCAAGCCACCACACTCAGCTATTTCTTTTTTTTTTTTTTTTGAGACAGAGTCTCACTTTGTTGCCCAGGCTAGAGTGAGTGCCGTGGTGTCAGCCTGGCTCACAGCAACCTCAATCTCCGGGGCTCAGCGATCCTACTGCCTCAGCCTCCCGAGTAGCTGGGACTACAGACATGTGCCACCATGCCCGGCTAATTTTTTCTATAAATATTTTTAGTTGGTCAATTAATTTATTTCTATTTTTGGTAGAGACGGGGTCTCGCTCAGGCTGGTTTCGAACTCCTGACCTTGAGCAATCCGCCCGCCTCTGCCTCCCAAAGTGCTAGGATTACAGGCGTGAGCCACCACGCCGGGCCTCACTCAGCTATTTTTAAACAGTCTTTGTAGAGACAGTCTTACTATGTTGCCCAGGCTGGTCTTGAACTCTTGAGCTCAAGCCATCCTCCTGCCTTGGCCTCCCAAAGTGCTGGGATTACAGGCATAACCCACTGTGCCTGATCTTCCTACCCTTTTTTTTGAGACAGAGTCTCACTCTTACCTGGGCTAGAGTGCCGTGGTGTCATCCTAGCTCACAGCAACCTCAAACTCCTGGGCTCAATCGATCCTCCTGCCTCAGCCTCCCTTGTGGCTGGGAGTACAGGCATGTACCACTATGCCCGGCTAATTTTTATATATATATATATATATATATATTTGGTTGTCCAGCTAATTTCTTTTTATTTTTTTCGTGGAGAAGGGGTCTTGCTCTTGCTCAGGCTGATCTTGAACTCCTGAGCTCAAACAATCCACCTGCCTTGACCTCCCAGAGTGCTAGGATTATAGATGTGAGCCACCACGCCCGGCCTCCCCACCCTTTTTAATTATAATATACATATCTGGATAGAGAGAGTGTGTAGATCATAGGTGTACAGTTGGATGGATTTTTACAAAGTGAACACACTTTGTAACCAACATCTAGGTGAAGTTGACAGAGTAGGACTTATATCCCAGAAAAGCCCTTTTTGTGTCTCCTTCCACTCAGTACCCCCTACCAACAACTATCCGAATAGCTTTGCCTATTTTTGTATTTCATAATACATTTCTCTCTCATTTTACAAAAAGCATGGCCCTTTAGTTTAAATCATATGATCCCAAGGATTTCAGTTATGGGAACGTTCTGGAATACTTTTCATATTCTCAGTGGTTGAACTTAGCCATAGAGATAAAAATATCAGCAGGACTCAAAAAATTATTAGGGTGAACATTCTTCCCACAGAGTACTGAAGACTGACTTTATTTTCTCCCAGCCATCTATATTGATAGCCAAGAAACTGCATAAATTAGTTATTACAAATATTTGTTTGGTACCTATTGTCAGCAAAGCTCTATTTTGTGCACTGAGATGTGTTAGTAAACAAAACAAACATCTCCACTCAGGGAGCCCCATTCTAGTTCAGGGTGGGGGTGGGAGATGAACAACAGACTCAGTAAGTCAGTGAATTATCAACATGTTAGAAAGTAACAAGAAATGTGGGGGAAAAGGAAAAGTAGAGCATGATAAGAGAGGAAATCTTAGGAGTCCAGGGTGGGTGAGGGGGCAAGATGCCATCTTAAATCGGATGATCAGGGACTATC